TCGAAGGTAAAATTAATATAGGAGAGGCGGACCATATTGGTGCAGAAAAGTAAATGCCTGAACTGCCTCCGATCAGGCCACACAAGGTATCAATGTCGCTCAAAAAGGAAGATGTCTAAATTGTGGACCAAAACACCATACGTCGATCTGTGAACCAAGAGAGCCTAATCGAGATTCAAGCTAAAGACATGAGAAACAAGAAGACCCACAAAACAACAGAAATGTCACCTCTACTATGACAACCTTAACGAGTACAACAACACATACAAATACACTAATGCAAACTGCACTGGTCACAGCCAGCGGACCAATTAAGAGATGCCAAGCACGCATCATCATAGATACCGGATCAGAAAAGACATTCATCACGCAAAGCTTGAAGAATAAGCTACAGCTGAAAGCTACTCAGAAAGAGATACTAGACGTAACCACATTTGGTTCAACCAAAGGTACTCCGAAATCCTACGAAGTCGTAACACTTACCTTAAACCCGGTAAATAAAGATGTCAAAATAACAGCCTTAGTCACACCCATCCTCTCCCCACCACTCTCAAGTACCCAACATACGGATATTCCTGTTGAATTCAAAGCTCTCACTTTCGCCGATCCACTAAACGCGGAAGGTGATCGCACAATAGATATACTCGTGGGAAATGACCACTACGCCCAGATCATTCTGGGAAACACAAAAAAATCACAAGATGAGAGATGGATGGCCACAGCAAGCAAGTTTGGATGGCTTCTCTCAGGACTGGTACCCAACAACGAATCCAGTAAAGAAACTACTCTCACAACATTCTGTCAGTTGATTGGTGCACAGCCCCACAGGAAACGATGAACTCAGCGAAACCCTCATTAAGTTCTGGGAGATAAACAAAATCCCAGACGAATTCAGCGACACTAAGGTAATAGAAGTCCAGAAACATTTTCAAGATACCATTGAATTCAACAAAGTTACCGGCAAATATAATGTAAGACTCCCATGGAAGGGCAACAAACACAACCTACCAACAAACTTCACATTGGCTAGAAAAAGACTGAGCAGCCTGCAACATACCCTAAAAGGAAAACACCCAGAGCTTATTTTCAAATACAAAGATCAACTGCTCGATCAACTCAAGAGAGGATTTATAGAACAAGTCCTCGATCCGAACATACATCAAGGAGTCACACACTACATACCCCATTTTCCTGTCTTCAAACAAAGCAGCACGACAGCTATGAGAATCGTTTACGACGCTTCAGCAAAGATATCCTCGAAGACATTAAGCCTCAACGATTGCCTTCATACAGGACCTAATCTCATACAAAGAGTACAAAGTATGTTACTCGCCTGCAGATTACGCAAGATAGCCTTCACGGCAGATATCGAAAAGGCGTTCCTACAAATAGAGCTCAACACTCAAGACATGGATGCTACGAGATTCCTCTGGCTCAAAGATGTAGACAAATCAGCGAATAATCCAGAAAATGTAGTCGTCTACAGATTTTGTTGCGTACTTTTTGTCCCCAATTAGTTTTTACACCTGTAAAACTAAATACATTGACACTTGAATTAAGTTTTCATTCATTCATTCCATACTTACTGAATGCCACAATACAATATCACCTCGTCAAACAAGACGACTGGATATCACAAGACTTACAACGTTCGATGTACATGGACAACGTCCTTACTAGAGTGGACACTGTACTAGAAGCCTTAGAGTATTACACATCCTCAAGAAACTGCTTCCAAAAGGCAGGTATGAATTTACAACAGTGGACCAGCAACTCTCCTGCTTTAAACCGCCAAGCTCACGACGACGGAGTATACGTAGAACCAATGGTCAAAGTCTTAGGCCTGAATTGGAACACAAACACAGATACACTGTCACTTTCATTAACAAACTGATCAAGGAAACCAACAGCACAGAAAAAGTCTCCAAAAGATCAGTATTAAGCTTATCCTCAAAAGTTTACGACCCGTTGGGACATGTGGAACCAGTCAGAGTAAAAGCGAAAATAATGATGCAGGAACTATGGAAACACAACCTAACATGGGACAAAGAACTACCTGATAGCTTCAAGGAGAACTGGATTAAATGGCTGAATGAACTACAAGGTCTGACTCCATTGGAAATACCCAGACAATATTTCAATAATATTGCCAGTGAAGAACAACTACACATGTTTTGTGACAGCAGCCAACTAGCATACGGAGTGGTGGCCTGCCTGAGAGGAAGTACCCCGAAAAGTGAGACACAGTGTACATTTGTCATGTCCAGAAGCAAAAGTAGCACCCATAAAACCACAAACGATGCCACGATTAGAACTACTTGCTGCAGTACTTGGAGCAGAATTATCTAAATACTTGTCAAATACCTTATTTCCAAAATTCTGCAACTCTCAAATTATATTGTGGAGTGACTCACAAATTGTATTATAAGGGATATCTTCATAAAAGCCTCTACAACAAAAGTTTATTCGACATCGAGTGCAACTGATTAGAGATCTTACCCCGCAGAGTACGTGGAAGTACTGCCCGACCACATCCAATCCTGCGGACTTCATTATTAGGGGAATGGACGCTAAAGCCTTTATATCTAAACTGCAGAATTAGAATCAAGGGCCCTCATGGCTTATGAAGCCAACACAGAAATGGCCATCAGTTCCCGACAACCAGTTGCAAGACAACATCGAAAATTACACGGAGACCCAATCAATAAGCATTAATTTAGCAAACTCACAAACGAGCGCGAATTTACTGGACGTCATCGATATCACCAAATACAGTACCTTTTACAAGACACAACGCGTTACCTCGCCCGTCATCCTTTTCACCGCAAAACTGGGAGAGAAAACAAATTTTAACACAGTAGCTGCCGTAGACATGAAACACGCTCGCATCGTTCTCCTCCAATCTGTACAACAGTTCTATTATGGAGACATCCTATCGAAAATCAAACACGAAGCTAAAGGCAAACAACCGGTAATCATACACCAACTTGAGTCTATTTAGATGATGATGGCTTGATACGACTACAATACGCACAACTATCACATAGCACCAAGTATCCAATATTGATACCGAAGGAGAGTCGCTTGTCAACCCTGATTCTTAGAGCAACTCACTGCTTGGTTTTGCACGGTGGCGTACGTGAAACTTTAACAGAACTGAGACAGTCGTATTGGATACCTAAAGGCAGACAGTCAGTAAAAAAGGTAATAAGCAAGTGTGTGACCTGTAGAAAAGTAGAAGGACCACCATTTCGCTCAGTTAACTCCTCCATTGCCAGATATCAGAGTCACAAAGTCTCAGCCCTTTCAAGTAACGAGAACTGACCATGCCGAGCCATTATAGGTGCGTAGCGCTAACAAAGAAGTCGCAAAAGTCTACGTCTCCCTATTCATCTGCACAACAATACGAGCAGTACATCTTGAATTAGTGGTGGATCAAACAGCCCGCGCATTTTTGAGAGCCTTCAAAAGATTTGCAAGTAGAAGAGGAATTCCAGAATGCATATATTCAGATGCATAATTTCACTTCTTCTTTGGACATTGGGTCTCGGCACCAGTTTCGGAGATATCAATCAGACTGAATTGTGTATGATCAGGTAATGTCTGGATTTCATTACACTTATGTTTCGTTAGTATCTAGCACACACATGATTACATTCAATCGATTGTTTCGTTAGTATCTCGCGCACACTTAGGATTACATTTTAATCTATTGTTTGCTTACTATCAAGCGCTCAGTTAGGATTACATTTCCATTGTTTCTTTCGTTAGTATCTACCGCACACTTAGGATTACATTTCAATCCATTGTTTTGTTAGTATCTCGCGCATACTTAACATTACATTTTAATCGATTGTTTGGTTACTATCTAGCGCACAAATAGGATTACATTTCAATCGATTTTTTCCTTAGTATCTAGCGCTCAGTTAGAATTACATTTGAATATTATGTTTCCTCACTATCTCGCGCACAATTAGGATTACATTTCAATCCTATGTTTCTTTAGTGTCTCCCACAAACATAGGATTCCATTTTTATCAATTGTTTTGTTGGTATTTCGCGCACATTAAGGATTACTTTCAATCGATTGTTTCCTTAGTATTTTGCGCACACAATTGTTTCTTTAAGTATCTCGCGCACACTTTGAATTACATTTCAATCGACTGTTCCGTTAGTATCTCGTGCACACTTAGGATTACAATTTCGGCTATTATTAGGTTATTATCTAGCGCAAAGTAAGGATTTTATCAATCGATTTTTTCGTTCAGTTACGATTACATTTCCATATAATGTTTCGTTACCATCTTGCGTACACCTAGAATTACACATTAATCGATTGTTTCGTTAGTATCTTGCGAACACTTTCAATATATTTTTTCGTTACTATCTCGCCCACCCTTTGGATTATATTTCAATCGTTTGTTTTGTTAGTATCTTGCGTAAACTCAGGATTACGTTTCAATCGATTTTTTTGGTAGTATCTCGCGCACAACAAGGATTACCTTTCTTTCAATCGAATGTTTTGTTAGTATCTTGCGCACACATAGCATAACATTTTGATCGATGTTTTTGTTAGTATCTCGGGCACACATGATTTCATTGTAATCGGTTGTTTTTTAGTATCTCGCGCACACTTAGAATTCCATTTAAATCATTTTTTTCGTTAGTATCTCGCGCACACTTAGAATTCCATTTAAATCATTTTTTTCGTTAGTATCTCGCGCAAACTAGAATTATGTTTCAATCGATTGTTTCGTTAGTATCTCGTGCACGATTAGGATTACATTTTAATCTATAATTTGGTTACTATCTAGCATACACGAAGGATTACATGACATTCGATTGTTTCGTTAATATCTAGCGCTCAGTTCGGATGACATTTGAATGTGATGTTTCGTTAGTATCTTGCGCACACTTAGGATTACATTTCAATCAATTGTTTCGATGTTATCTTGTGCACACATAGGANTAGGTCCTAGGTGACAAAGACAAATTTCCTGGCTCATCCAAATGGAAAAAAATAATGTAACAAAGATGAAGGAAAAAAGCCAATAATGGACACAGCTGACATTGCGGGAAAATTTTGACTCAAAACTGCATTTTTGTGCAACTGAGACCTTAACCACTTTAACTCCCAGAAGTGATTAACATGTAACTTCTCCCTATAAAATCCATATGTTATCCAAGAAACAGGTATTGAGAATATCCAAACTTATCAGGTAGAAGTTATTTTCTTGATCTACCACCAAATTCTCCTAGCTAAGTTGCAAGAAAATGTGTATCAGTGAGAGGGGAGGAGAAACAATTTGATCTTGCAGGGAGTTAACAGGTTAACATAAGTAAATAATTTGCAGGAACTTCTTTTCATGTAATGATCCAGTACATCTAACCTCAATGACACAACATAATAAGTTTAAATCTTAGTATCAACTAAAATTACACACACCTCTCTTCCATGAATTTTGTTCAGAAACATCGATGGAATCCTCCATATCCCCTTCCTCCCTGGCCTTTTTAATGATTGTTTCTTCATTTGATTCCTCTGCAATGCAGTCTTCATCCTTCAACCACTTACTCAGAAGCTGTTTATAGTCAAGTTTGATATCATTAATGTGATACCAATAGCGGGTCCCTCCAATGCGCAAAAAGATGTCTTTGATGTCATTCCAGTAAGAACTGAAAGTTGAATCATCAACTGAACCACTCGCTGTATGACTGTAAACTCTGTCTCTTAAGACTTTGATTCGAGTGATGTCAGCTTCTGGAGAGGTGTCTGTGGCAGGAGGAAGCTTATTGCTGCTACCAGTAGGGAAAGTCAAACCAAAGATATTCCTCAACAGGAGAAGCAGTGAGGAGATTTCTAAGTCCCTTGAGGAAACTAGAGATTGGCAAGCAGGATACAGTGTGAACCACTGGGAGCGACTCAGGACTCTCTTCTTTCTCAGTGATCGTAATTTTTCTTTGTTTTGAGGCTGAGCCAGAACTGCGTGAAGGTTTCCTGGAGGACATTTACTGTCAAAGATCTCCCTTAACACACATGATCCAACATCAATAAGAAGGCAACAAAGCCGTACGAAATTAGAAGTTTCTTTAGTAGAAGGATTTGATAGAGTGGTACAAGCCATGAAGACATGTCTCCTATAAGGAAATGTTTTAGTTATTAAAAGGCAACTTAACCTTTAACTCCCAGAAGTAATTAACAAGTAACTTCTCCCTACAAATATCCGTATATTACCCTGCAAAATAGGTAATGAGAATACTCAAAATTTTCAGGTAGTTGTTATCTTGATCAAATGACGAATTCACCTAACTAATCTACAAGAAAATATGTAGCAGCTGAGTTGAGAATTAACAGTCAGATCTGGTGAGTTAAAGGGTTGATAAAAATGTTACTGTTACAATGTTATNAAAACAAAGGGAATATGCAAATTTGTCTGTGAGTGAAGAGATCTCAAGCTCCATGAAATCTATCAATGGGAAGCAAGACTAAAATGGCCAAGAAATATTTCGGGACGACAGATTTATTCAAAACAGTTTTTGATTTGCTGTTATAGGCGAAAAACGTACGAATTTCTTTCATGTACAAAGCCAACGCGGTAAAAATATTAATTCATCATGCTTGTATCGTTGTTTACTTGCCTTTATGGCCAGAAATCGCACAGCATTCTGTTCAAAATTCTGAAAAAACTTCCATTTGACGCAAAATCTTCCATTAAAACATACCTTTTGAACACATTGTTACTCGAACATAATATTTACCGGGCCATCAACTCGTCAAATTGTCGCTAGGCCCTGCTTGAAGTACTAAAGGTCGATGTTTACTTTATGTCCATAATTCGCATCACCTTAGAGTATCGTAGTGTCGTTGACTCGAGAGCTTATTCTGTCCCCTTGAAGAGCTTGATATCCATTCATTTTCCAAGCAGGGTATTCTAAAGCATTGTTACTTTACATTCTGAGTTCTACAAGGTCTAACTCGATCGCAAATGAACGAAAAATCCGACCTGAAAATTTTGAGGGTCAGCGCGCGGACGCCATATTTTCTAATTTGGTCATTCAGTGAAGACGCATAAAATAATGCCCCTCTAATACCCCCTAAAGCCGACAAAATATATGTGCAAATGACGGATTCTGATTGGCTTATTGATCTCCAAACAATAGAGGAAGTTTGGGGATAAAACTCTACTTAGTAAGGGAGGTAGGGGGGAAGCGTTTTTGCGCACGGCAATCGCGAGGTTTGGACGGTTCAGGTGTCAATGTGTTTTAACTTAAACTGCTGAATAGAGAGATATCAAGTACAACCATTCGCAGCAAATCGCAAAATACGAACATGGGAAAGATTTCCGTATAACCCTCTACCAGTAAAGACAAAGCCGTAATTCCGATGGAAATCTCTTGTTTTGCCTCTGCTTTCTTTTATCAAAGAATTATATGCATAACGAAGTATGGGGTGATACGGTAATCTTGCCCGAACATGTCTCCTGCAAACAGAAAGTACTGACCGAAGCACAAAGCCACGATTCCTATAAATCTGCCTTTTAAAACAAATGTTTTATGGCTAGAAGCAGAACAAATCCAGTCAAATTCGCAAAAATGATAACGAATAAGTGAATCGACATAAAAAGCTATTGAATATAGAGGTATCAAGAAGAGGTATGCACACCAATATTCGTAAAATACGAACATCTCTACGACAAACAGGAAGTTCGAAGCTCCAAGTACCCGCGAGGGTTAAGACAATTCCCTCGCTAGTAATAAAAAGTTAAAACGTATGTATCTGGTAAATGAATGAAACGGATCATTCACGGTTTCCGGGAAACGAGCCCAAAAGCACCTGATCAAAAACGACCACGATTCCTCGTTTTGCCAAGCTTCGACATACGAGCCTCGTTTTTCCAATCGAGCCTCGATTTTGCAGTCGAGCCTCGATTTTTCAATCGCGCCTCGATTTTGCAATCGAGCCTCGATTTTGCAATCGTGCCTCGATTTTCCAATCGAGCCTCGATTTTCCAATCGTGCCTCGATTTGGGAAGGAGCCTGGGGCGAGCGAGAGTGGTCATGTTCTGGAAAAATTGTCGAGTTTAATTGGTGAGCTCGCGAATTTTTCGAGGTATGTTTTAGGTCCGTTTTTTACGAAAGAAATAAAGAGAGAAAGAGAGAAAGAAAGAAGGAGAGAAAGGGAGAAAGAAAGGAGAAAAAGAAAGAGAGAAAAAATGAAAGACCGTATGCTGGTCGAACTGCAAATTTCCTAAAATTTCAAAGATGATGTTGTTCCCACCATACGAAACAGAAAAGAAAGAAAAAAACAAGAAAATAACAAGATCAATGAAAGTTCTTATCCGTTAAAGAAAAATATTTAGTCTGCCTTTCGTAGACATTCCATCTTTGTTAAAAAAAAAAAGCTAAAAGAAAAAGTTGCGAAGGAGAAATAGCCCGGCATCGAGACTGGATTTTTGGGCTGTCACTAACACTTCGCCTTTTTTTTTCTTTTTTCCACAGTTAGGTATATTTGAGTGATTCAGCTTTCTTTCAGTTTTCGTTCGTCTTTCTTTCCTACGCTTATCATTAACAAAGTACGTTTCACTTTATAGTTTAACACCTAAAAGAAGTCGTGAAGCTCTATTTCATGCTATCATTATTAGAATATTTTTTTCGTGGCACAGATTAAAAACAACGTTGGGGTTTAGCTTTAGTAGCATTTGTTAGTATAACGTAATGTGTTTGCAGATCTGTTTTCTTTTCTCCTAAATCTTAAGGTTATAGCAGCATCCTTTTCCGATCGCTTGTCGCTAAACTGCCTTCTACAAGAACCTTCTACAGGCCTCCAACCCACGGTAAGTTCTTCTACATGCTCCAAGCAATCTTGGAGGATCTTTGGTTGAAAATATTCAACATTATGATCATGGATGACTTTGACTCCAATATCAAGACAAGTATGGGGGAGCGCTTGTTAAAGGTGGCTAGACATTTTGGTTTAGAGAATGTGATTGAAGAACCGAGTAGGATTACAGAATCTTCAAACACAACCATAGACCTAATCTTTACATCGAATAAATCCAAGGTGAAAGTAAAGTAAAGATTCGCACCAATGGACTGAAGTGGATGAATAGCAATATCAGGAAGGAGATGAATAGGAGATATGTCTTGTTAAGAGAAGTTCAAAGGAACCCGATTGATACAGATGCAAGGAAACAGTATAGCAAAAAACGTAATCGTGTAACTAAGATCATGAGAGAAGCTGAAGTTGAATATTGGAAAGTTAAATTTGAAAGTGAAAAGAGCTCAGGTGACTTTTGGAGGTTGGTACGCCGGTGAAATGCAAGGCAAATCAAAACGCAGCGTGAGTGCAATTAAAAATGAGGATGGAATTATTGCAATAGATGTTAAAGACAAGGCTCAAAGCTTCAATGACTTCTTCTCTAAAGTTGGTGAGAGGCTTGCAAATGACATTCTAACAGATACCAGTGCTAATGAACATCCGCACATTTACCAAATTACACCTACTATTGAGCCAGTACAACTTAATGTCCACAAGATTAAAAGGGTTATCGATAAAAGAGTTAAGCCTGGAAAAGAATGTGGCCCTTACAACATTGCCTAAAGTGGACTCAAACTTGAAGGAGATGCTGTAGCAGGTTGCCTGTCTTATGTGATGGAAGTAAGTTTCAAATCCTCAAGTTACCCTCCTCGATGGAGGCTGAGTAAAGGGAAAGCCGTACCCAAAAGGTACATAGCTCTGAAAGAGGTGACTTTAGGCCAATTTCTCTATTGTTTATTTCATAGCAAAGTGTACGAGGGCATAATAGGAGATTCCAGTGACTGCCATTTTAACAAGGGAGGCTTGTCCAACAAAAGCCAGTGTATTTTTAAAACTGGCAGGTCAACAGAACTCTTAATGCTGCACCTGACTGAAGTTTGGAGACACGAACTGGATAAAAACAAAACTGTGGGGGTACTGTTTATAGACTTTAAAAAGGCATTTGATTACATTTGTCATAACACGATGGCCCTCAAACTCCAAGCCTTTAGATTATCAGGGAACCAAAACAATCTGATTGAAAATTACTTATCTGAGAGAAAACAGTTTGTTGAGGTTAAGGGGCAAAGATCTAATGAAGTGACCGTCAAGTTTGGCGTACCCCAGGGACAGTACTTGGCCCCAGGCTTTTTAGTATTTACGTCGATGATCTGCCTGAAGTGCCTAGTTGTGGAAAGATGGAAATGTTT